AATTTCACTTAGCTGCTGTTGGGGTCCCAGGGAGCAGATTTAACCCATGTGTTGGTGTTTCTGAAAACAAAACTATTTTGGGATGTCTCAGTTGCAATTTTCCCCACGAACCAGAAATCCCATGTTTTGGTGAGCTCTAAATGCTCTGAGTCTGCTGCTGGCATAAGTTACAAGGCTCTGAGTGCCTATGTGAAGGGGGATGCTTACCACCTGTGCTGCCTAATGGTTGGATAGGGGTGTGGCAGGTTGTCTTCCTCCTGGACATCTCCCTTTCTTACTGCCACTCCTCAGTGGTCTGTCCTTCCAGTAACTCTGTCCAGGTCATGTTTTCAAGTCTGTCCTTCTCAGGGTATGTATAGAGGAAGAGCCTTCAGGATTAAGCAGGGGACTTAAAGCTCCCCCGCACTTGGGTCAAGATCTCACAGTCTGCACCCTTTTATCTTCAGGGTTTTCTCCCCCAAATAGGGTCCCTGCATCAGGGACAGGCCACTGTAGTTGTCCTCCTTTCAGGGTTGATAGCAGAGCCCAGGCCTACCCTCTCCACTAGGCTCTGATCCAGGGCCCAACAGTAGGCAGCTAAGTCCTGCACCCTGGGGTGCTATGCAGCTGCCTCCCAGATCACTTCCTACCAGTCCCCTCTTCCCACAGGGTAAACTAAAGAACTAAAACATAAAGTCTCTAATCTCCAGAGGGTGACAGGTGCCTTCTCAATAGGCTTGGTCAGATTACTATAGCCAAGTCCGAGGAGCTCAGAGTGTAGGTCAGCTCACTTCCACTATCTACCCACCAGTGAGCCACTCTGCTTCCCTTTTTAAGATTCTCCTCCAGCCTATGCAGGCTTTGTAGGTGCCAGAGGCGCTGACTTCACCAGTTCCTGGGGGGTGCTCGACCCCTTCTCCGCCCCAGGCTCCACCCCACCCCTTCCTGCCCTCTCCCCCCCAGCCCCTCCTGCACGCTGCTGAACAGCTGATCATGACAGGCGGAAGGCACTGGCATAGAGCGGGAGGAGCTGGTCCTCAGGGCTGCCGGTGGGTGCTGAGTTTTCTGTGGGTGGAGTCAGCATCTATGGAAGGTGCCATGGAATGGGGCCTGCTGGGCCCAGAGCAGTTATTCAACCCCTTCTTTTCCAGTGTGGGGTTTATGCATCCCATCACAGCCCCCCAAAGATTAATCCATCTAGGTTAATCCAAGAGTGCCTTAAATCCAAAATTTCTGCACTAGAATAATGGTATCCCCTTACTTTAGGTTTTGTGGGGGAAAAAACCCAAACTTTAATCACCATTCCACTATTTTTTGCCTAATATACTTACATGCCCCCATTATCATAGTACTTGAACCCTTCACACTCTTTAATGTATTGACTTTCACAACACCCCTGTAAGGTAGGAAAGGTCTATCGTTCCCAGTTTACAGATGGGAAACTGAGGCACAGAGCCTACATGACTTGCCGCAGGTCAAAAGAAATTGTGCACAGCAGAAACTTGAACTGGGGCCTCAAGTTGCAGGCAAATGCCCCAACCACTGGACCATCCTTCCTCTAAATTAGCAATTTTATTTGGATTTCTCCTCCTTTTGCTGCTTTTTAATTTTGCTCTGATAGTGAATGGCAGCTTCATCAGTTTCTTTGAAACTTATTTCTGACAGGACCACTCTTTCACCAGTTTCTCCAATCTCAAAGTTTTCATCAGTGATAGTTTTGCACATATATCGTGTCTGTTTGAGAAACCTGGATCCTCCCCTCTTACCCTGGTTCTGCTACGGTCTCTTACAGCAGCTTCTCCTCACTCACTCCCCACCTCAAAGCCCACACAGTAAGGGATGATCATCCTCTCCTGCTGATTCATAGAATCATAGAATATGATTGGTTGGAAGGGACCTCAGGAGGTCATATAGTCCAACCCCCTACTCAAAGCAGGACCAATTCCCAATTAAATCATCCCAGCCAGGGCTTTGTCAAGCCTGACCTTAAAAACCTCTAAGGAAGGAGATTCCACCACCTCCCTAGGTAACCCATTCCAGTGCTTCACCACCCTCCTACTGAAAAGGTTTTTCCTAATATCCAACCTAAACCCCCCCACTGCAACTTGAGACCATTACTCCTTGTTCTGTCATCTGCTACCACTGAGAACAGTCTAGATCCATCCTCTTTGGAACCCCCTTTCAGGTAGTTGAAAGCAGCTATCAAATCCCCCCTCATTCTTCTCTTCTGCAGACTAAACAATCCCAGTTTCCTCAGCCTCTCCTCAGAAGTCATGTGCTCCAGCCCTCTAATCATTTTTGTTGCCCTCCACTGCACTCTTTCCAATTTTTCCACATCCTTCTTGTAGTGTGGGGCCCAAAACTGGACACAGTACTCCAGATAAAGCCTCACCAATGTCGAATAGAGGGGAATGATTACATCCCTCGATCTGCTGGCAATGCCCCTACTTATACAAGTTCCAAACACTCTGTACCGTCCTTTCTCCTACTTTGAACAGCATTTCATGCAACTCTTCTCTCCTCAATGTAGTCACCTGATTCCTCCTCAGCCACCTTCCTTGCTGATTTTGACTCTTAGCTCTCCTTATTTTCAATTCCCATATATATATGTCCCATCTGATCCTTTAGCTTCCTACTTGCTTCTCCTCACCTCATTTGACCTTTAATGCTCAATTAAATCTCCCACACACCCAAATTGCCACTCACTTGGCCTTATCTTTACCAAGCACTGGTCCCTCTCTGATCTTTCCAACAACCAACTCACTTCCTCCAACTTGCCTCCTTCACATCACTCTGCCTTCCAATCCATCAACATGCTCAACTCCTCAGGCTCCTTATCTACATGCCTTCTTCACTGTCTTCCTTTGATTTATTTATGTCCTCCATACCATGATTTTCTCTATCATCAATTCATTTCCTCATCTCTTTCTCCACAAGATACTTTCCACCAATCCCCAGCCCTGGTTTATTTAACATTCACTTCTTCCATTCTTGCTGTCATATAGCTGAATGTCTCTGGTGAAAATACTGCAATTTTACAGAATTACTCCACCACACATTTGTTGTCTCCTCTTTCAGCTCTGCCATTTTCCAGGTAAAGCAGCACAACTTTCCACCCTCATTGATTTCACACCTATTCCTGGCCTCTTGCCACCTGTACCTCATTTCTAACCCCCCGCCCCCAACACCTTGCAGGATAATTCCATATTTTTCAAAGATGAATAAAATCTGATTATCTTCATGCTCCTTCTTAAACCCAGTCACCACCACTTAAGCGTGTCACTGCTCTCCACCTCTAATTCTTCTACTTGCTCCAGTGACTGTCCTTTGCCACCACTCTCACTTTCTCCCTTATCTTTCTCAACTTCCCACACTTCTCAGGTTCCTTCCCCTTAAAAGTATGCTCTGGTCAATTCCATCATAAAAAAAATACCAACCAACCCAAAACCATGTTTCAACTTCTATCTCTAGCACCCCGTTTCCCTTCTCCCCCTTGCCTTAAATTCATTGATCTTGCTGTCTACACTCATTGTTGAAAGTTCCTCTCCTCCAACTCCAGTCTGGCTTCTGCCCTCTCCATTTCACTAACTCAGCTCTCAGAATCTCTATTGACCTCTAACCAACCAAAGCTCAGAACCTCTACTCCAGCTCCATTTTCCTTGACTTCTGCTCTGCCTTTGACAGCAGTTATCACACCTACATTCTCTATGTCATCCATAACTGTCTTCTCCTGATTCATTCAGTGGATCATCATCCTGTTCTCCCACTCTCCTTGGCCCCCTCCTCTTCTCTCTTTATATCCCCTCTCTCTGGGCAATCCTAATCTGCTCCCGTGATTTAAGAACTCTCTCTTACACCAGTCTAACTCTCCAATCTCATACCACATCTCAGTCTGTTTCTCCAGTAATTCCTCCTGGATCTCTTGCCATCAGCTAAATATAACATGCCCCCCAAACAGTCTTTCCTTCCAAACCCAGTGCTTTCCCCTCTCTCCATCACAGATAACAGCACCACTACATTTTCAGTTGACCAGGATTGTAACCATGGTAACATTTCACTCCACACACATCCTAGACCTGTACATCCTGGCTATTTCCAAAAGGTGCCATTTCCTCCCACCATAACAATTCCATGATCTAGCTTTTCTTCTGTCCACAGAACCAGAGTTCTTTCCACAGGCCTTCCTGCCATCTAACCCCTCATCAGCACCAGTCTAAAGTCAGGCACTAAGGTCATCCTGCAGCCAGGCCCATGGTTACGAGCAGGCCCCCATCTCCACTTATTTCTTTATTGGTTCAAACTGAAGCTCTTCCTAACCAAGCCCCGCCCTACCCAGTCACCCTTATGGGGGCCTGTCACGTTGCCTCCTGTTCCCAGGCTCCAGCCACGAGGCAGCCACCACCCGCCCCGCTTGTCTGCTTCTCCCACAAGCACTTGCTTCCACGCTGCCCTCTCCCCCCGGGCTGGGCTTTCCCAAGGAGCCCCCCCGCCACGCGGCTCATAGAGCTATTTGTGATTTCAGCTCTTAGCGATTTCAGCTCATAGTATAGTAGGGGAGCCCCAGTGCTGGTGCACCATTGGCCCAAAGTGAATTCAGCTCAGCAGCCTGTAACTAGACTCCTAATGGAATCAAAGTTAGCTCTGACATTCAACAGTGGAGAGAGGAGGTGGTGCAATTGGTGTTTCAAACCCTCAGAGGGGGCCCATACCATCAGGTACAAATACCTGTCCCCAGAGCTGCTCAGCCGGCGCAGGGAGGGGGATGGGTTGTTCCCAGAGCAGCGCCCCTCAGAGCGCAGTAGCAGCCCAGGACGGGGGCTGCTAGGCAGGGTAGGGGACTGGTACGCGCTTCCGCCCAAACACGTGACCTATAGCGACCATGCGCGGAACGGTTCTTACTCCCGGCAGCGCGTGCGAACTAAGGGGGCCTAGTAGGGAGGTGTATGCGCACGCGCAGTTGTGATTTCAGCCCCCGCTAGGTTGTGAGAAGCGGAAGTAGTTACCATATTCCGGAAGCGCTTCTGAGTGTCATGGCGGCGTTGGTCAGAGCTGTGGTAGGTGAAGGGATGGGTCAGAGTTGGAGCCCGAGCCATGGCCCAGCGTCTGTGTCCGGCCGGGTTCGGAGCCTCCCTGTAGCGCGGACGGTCTGGCTCAGGAGCCGCCGACAAATGCACCGGGGGGCTGCGGTCTCCGCGGGTGACAGGGCCCTGGGAGTGGTGGCCCCGGCTCTGTTACCCGGGGGGGCGGGTTTGGCGGGGCATGTCTGGTAACTTCCCAGCGGTGTTGTAGTTTAACAGAAGGTGGATCCGGGGCCTTGGCCCCGCGCTGTGTCCCGTTGTCGGCGGTGATGTGTGTGGTGCATGCGGCTCGGTGAGGGGAGCTGGGCTGGGAGCACAAGGTTGCAGTATCTGGGATACCCCAGCTCGGCACTTCCGTGCTCTCCAGTAGCACAATGATTCGTCTTTCGAAAAGATTCTGAATTAGAAATTTAGTTTGGATTCCTTTGTTCCATATGGTGGTTTTTCAACAGCCATTCAAACACCTCTTTCCCCCACCCCTCCCAAATACTGATCAGCTTACACTTTACATGTTTCCTTCTTGATCTTTATTCATGAACAGGAGCATCAAACAGGTTCCACATCAGATGCTTTGAATCCTTCTTTCCTTCTTTACCCGTTCTTTGTAGAAGTTTCTGATTTTTATTTCAGGATCTTTTCACTTGTTGGAAGCTGTACGTCAGGACACTTACTTCAAGAATTACTGTTTGCAGTCCTCTGTGACCTGCTGAGCTAACTTCCTGAATGTTAAACTTTTTATTCATTCAGTATTTGCTGGTCATTGTTGCAGTTTGCTCAGTTAGCATTGGAGACAAAAAATTGATCTTCTAACACTTTAGTATATAGAGACGGCACATCTTTCATCTTAACTCGCATGTCCTTTCGGTAACAGTGAAAGTGCATGTTTGAGTCTCTGCTCTTCTTATTAATCATATTTATTGTGGGTAGAACCTAGGGACCAACTAAGAATTGTACATTACCTAGCACAAATGGTGCACAAGCACAAAAGTAGTAGAAGTCAGAAAATACTGGAGGTGAAATGTTGGCTGCATGTCTGGTATGAAGCTTAAAGGCTTTGGTTATGTTGGAGCTTTGGGATACGTTCCAGTGGGAGAGGTAGTTGTATGAGCAGGATAGCCTGCATCTCACTGGGATGAGGGGAGTGCTAATGTTCTCAGTTGGAGACTAGCTGGATCAGCCAGGAGGCTGTTAAACTACCAATGCAAGGGGAGGGTGGTAAGGAAGCAAGTATTGTATAAACTGGAATTTGGAATGTAAGAAACAAATTGGATCAACGTGAAAGAAGATTTTTTTTCAATGGCTTATATACCTTTGCTGGGAGTCTGAGTAACAAACATGGGAAATTGGAAATTTCTCATTGATTAGAAGAAATTTGATAGGCATTACTGAAATTTGCATGGTTGGAAAGTTGTTACTTGTTATATCCTACCCAGGAAGGTCAGAGCAGGTGAAAGAAGTAGGGTTGGAACTCTACATTAAAGACATCATTATCTGTTTTACAGTTATAGGTAACTCACAACCACAGGAACTTTGATCCATTTCATGTGCTAACTAACAAAGTGCAGGAAGGAGTGCTGGTGAGGAGTCTGTTGCAGACCACCAAATCAAAAAGGGACATGATGGAAAGAAAAATTGTGTTATGAGGGACTTCAGTTTGGGAGACAAATACTGGAGGTCTCATGCAGCCAGTAGTAAATCAAGATTAGGGTTTCTAAAAACTTATACATGGTAATTTTTTAATGCAACAGGTATTGCACCCCAACACAAAATAACTATTTTATCCTCATGATAAGTAAAGATGAATATAGATTCTAAAGCCAGAAGGGAACATTGTGATCATCTAGTTTGACCTTCTGTATAACACACGCAACTTCCCTAAAATAATTCCTGGAGCAGATCTTTTAGAAAAACATCCAATCTTGATTTAAAGATTGTCATTGATGGCAAATCCATTTCAACCCTTGGTAAATTGTTCCAATGGTTAATTACTGTCCTTATCAAAAATGTACACCTTATTTCCAATCTGAATTTGTCTAGCTTAAATTTATATCCATTGGATCCTGTCTGACCTTTCTCTGCTAGATTAAAGAGCCCATTATTAAATATTTGTTCCCTATGTAGATACTTATAGACTGTAATCAAGTTACCTCTTAACCTTTTAAAATATGTTAGGATCAAAAGAAACTCAAAAGCACTGGTATAGGCCCATTACTAGCTGGAGATGGTAAAATTGTTAATGATGTAGAAAAGGCAGGAGTGATCAACAGATATTTCTGTCCTGTATTTGCTAAGAAGCAGGATGATGTACTCTGATCATGAGAGGATGATTAACTACTTTCCAATCCATTAGTAACTAAGGAGGATGTTAGACAACATAGAATAATAGGACTGGAAGGGACCTCGAGAGGTCATCTAGTCCAGTCCCCTGTACTCATGGCAGGACTAAGTATTATCTAGACAATCCCTGACAGGTGTTTGTCTAACCTGCTCTTAAAAATCTCCAATGATGGAGATTCCACAACCTCCCTAGGCAATTTATTCTAGTGCTTAACCACCCTGACAGGAAGTTTTTCTTAATGTCCAACTTAAACCTCTCTTGCTGCAACTTCAGCCCAGTGCTTATTGTCCTATCCTCAGAAGTTAAGAAGAGCAATTCTTCTCCCTCCTTGTAACAACCTTTTATGTACTTGAAAACTGTTATGATGTTCCCTCTCTTTTCTAGACTGAAAAAATTGCGTTTGTTTAATCTTCCCTCATTGGTCATGTTTTCTAGACCTTTAATCATTTTTGTTGCTCTTCGCTGGA